CAACAACAACAACAACAACAACAAGCTGGATCTATTTACAATGATAAGTAGTAAATCTGTAAATCTCAAAGATTATTGACGCAATGTGGGAGGCCCGGTGGCCTCATGGTTTGTGCGCTCACCTTCAGCTTGAGCGGTCTGGGTTCAAGTTGTGGCTGGGGACATTGTTTTGTTTTCTTGTGCAAGACACTTTATTCTCACAGTGCCTCTCTCCATCCAGGTTTATAAAATTATACCAGCGAATTTAATAATGGAGTGTAACCAGCATCCCATCCGGGGGGAAGTAAAAATACTTCTTGTTGCTTCTTGCTTCAGAAACCGGGGATAAACTCTGGCCTGATGGGCCACGTGGCTCATATGCAGACTTTACCCTTACCTTGACGTAATGTACATGTAGGAAATTTTAATACAAATGAACTAGTCATCTAAGATCCATTCTTTATTTGTAGAGAACAAGAGGTTTTGCATAAAGATTTAATGACATTAGAGAATTCTAACAAATCAATAGAGAACTTCATTTTCTCGCTCCTTGCTTTAATTTAATAGCATGCAAAGGCCAGAGTTGTGGAGTGCACAGAGAGGAAAAACAAGAAAATGAAAGGGGAGTCATCAAACCAAAAAGATAACGTGAAACAGTGAGTACATACATTGATTGCATTTAGTCGAGCTGTAGTTAGTCCTTTGTACAATATGACTTTTTAGCAGGTGGGGTGCTTGCAAAATAGTTTACTGGGCGACTTTTAAGTACACGTATGCTTACAATATGTGTAAAGAGAAGTAAGAAGTTGGTCAGTTCACTCTTGACATTAGGAACTTATATATAGGTAATATCATGGGCGAAAAATCATTCGAATCCTTAATTTTAGCGCGAAATTTCAGTGATCATTATTTATAATTTCATTGTGAAATTACAAAATTGCCATGGCAACGTTTGGCAAGAAATTTCTTGATAAAAATAAACAAGAAAAAACCCATGATAGTAAGGGTAATTTGTCACCTACATGTATGATATAAATTTAAAAGGTCATCAAATTTATAGAATTCTCGTGAAAGTAGGAAATAATTTCACTGCAGCGTTTTGTCAAAATCCTGCTAATTTCCCTAGCCTAATGGCTCGGCAATTTATGATATTTTTGATAAAACGCGCGAGATATTAAACAATGTTATTATTGGATGAGGTTTTTGTGATATCCAGAATAATCAAGGTCGAGGTATTATCAGCCTCAGCCTTCGGCTTCAGCTGATAACCCTAACCGAGACCTTGATTATTCTGGATATCACAAAAACCGAATCTACTAATTGAAATACTAATTATACATTGAACGAAAAAGAAAAAAAAAAAGAAAATGGAAGTCATGTTTTTGCTTCTTCACTGACGGCAAGCAACACAAAGTACACGAACTTGACATGATTACCCTTAGAAATCACGCACCGCGGTCATACATGACATGATTACCCGTGACCTTGAGTGTCCTTGATATGATTATTGTATAATCTACAGCTAGATGACGTCACAGGCGCTGATTTCGAAAATTCACTGTACGCTTTCGGCCAATCAGAAAAGAGATAGTGAGCTCAATGGTAAAGAATATTTCTTAATTTCACTCATCACCATTTGATTACCCATACTAATCTGAGTTCTGTATTTTTTTTTTTTTTACTTTCAGCAGTTCCAATGTTGAAAAGAATCAGCAAGGTTGGTTATTTTGATAATTATCATTTTCTTAAAATCACTTCTCCCCCACCTGGCACCATTTAGCATAGAGAACCTT